GGGAAAGAGATACAAATTATGAAAGAGTAGTGCAATTTAAAATAGGTTGACCAGGGAAAGCTTTCCTGGGAAGGTCACAAATGAGCAGATTCCAAAAGGAAGTAAAGAAGTGGGCCATGTGGATATCTGAGGTAACAGCATCCAAGGCAGCAGAAACAGCAAGTACAAAGGCCCTGAGGCAGGAGCTAGCCTGATTTGCTTGAAAAACAGCACATAAGCCAGGGTAACTTTAGTAGAGTGAGCAAGGGGGAGACTAAGAAGAGGCGAGCAGGATGACTGGTTGTGTCATGTGGGGCCTTATAATCATTTGTAAGGACTTCTACTTAAGTGAAAGAGTGAGAAGCAGTTGGAGAGTTTAGAGCAGAGAAGTGACGAGATCTGCCTTAACATTTTAACAGAATTACTCTGGTTATTGTGTTGAGAATGAACTGTAGGCAGACCAGTTAGGAAGCTTTTGCAGTAATCCAAGCAACAGATGATAGTAGCTTAGGCTTGAGTGTTAAAAGTGGAGGTGGCTGGAAAGTGGTTGAATTCTGTATAAAGTATAAATATAAATAGGAAAGAGAAGGCAAGTGACCAGAGTCCTGAGGTACTCCAGCATTTAGAAAGTCAACAAGATGACAAGCAGACAGTAAAGGAGACCAGAGAGGTAGGTGGGAAACGGGAGTAGTATCCTGGAAGCCAAGTAAAGAAAAGTGTTGCAATTGTTGCTGATAAATCAGATGGGGAGTAGAATCAACCATTAGATTTTACAAATGTGAAGGTTATCTGTGACTTGGTAAGAGTAGTTTAGGAGAATAGTTGAAGGTAAGGCCTAACTGAAGTGAATTCAGGAGTTTGAGGAGAGAAATTGGAGATAGGAAGTTTTTTGAGTAATTTTGTTATAAAATGAAGGAAAGAAGGCAGCACTGGAGGGGAAAGTAGGGTCAAGAGAGGGATTATTTTTAATACAAGAGAAATAATTGTAGAGTGATAGAAAAGATCCAGTGGCAGTGAGAGGGCAGAATTCCAGGAACAGGATCTTCAAGAAAGCTAAAGGGGTTGGGGTCTTTTGTACAAATAAAGGGTTGGCCTTGGCAAGGAGTGTAGTGCTTCGTCCATAGGAATGGGAGACAAGTTAGAGTTTATGAGCACAGGTGCTGGTAGTTGTGTAGATGCTGTAGGAGGAGCTTGTGGAGCTTCTCTTCTGATTGATTCTATTTTTCTCATCAAATGGGGAAGTAATCAACTGAGAGTGAGAGCAAGTGTGGAGAAAAGAAAACGTAAGAAATAGTCATCTGGAAAAGTAAAGTCTATTAACTGAGAGCAAGGAGGAAGGATAAGGCAGGAAATAATTGTCTAGGCCAGAGGGAAAGAGAATGGGCCAGGGAAACAGAATGTGATTGCTGGGCAGCATTAAGCTCTCACTGGAGTTTCATGGTGATCAATTTAAAGTGTATTTTTTTCCAGCCATGTTGTAGCCACATGGTTGCAGGCACAGATGCTGTGACAAGGTGATTTAACTAGGGTTGCAGTTGAGCCAGACTGCAACGAAAGAGAGTGTATGCAAGTACGTAATGGTGCTGATTGTCATGGATTTTAAACCACATAAGGAGGGAAGTAGTGTTCGCCAAAGGCCTCAATTGTTTATATGTGACAAGCAAAGCTCAGTCTAGTAACTAAATTGTGCACCACCAAAAATTTTTGTTTCAGACTTTGTAGAATTCATTTGGGATCCCTTGTCAACCTCACAGACAACAAATTTAATAACACAGAGCAGAATAATTCTTGAAGAACATTCCACTTGTGAAAATGAAGTTATTAGTAAAGGCAAACAGGTAATTTCTAGAATTATGAATTTCTTGATACATTTGTAAATCAATATAATTTATTATAAATCTTTGTTTACAGAAGATGCAGAAGAAGTAATTACCAGAAAACTATTCAGGGAAAAATATTTAGGATTGACCATTTTTTGCCCTTTATAATTATTAAGATGAAAGAACACACCTTGATATTTCTGAACATTCTTACAGGAATGGTAATGCTTATGCATTCAGTAAGATCCAGATTATTACTTTCATTCTTATTAGCTTATTTCTCTCTGTTCAGTGGTCTGATTTGTGTTCTCATGGCCCAGCCAGCTGTGTTTCAGGTTTGTGAATATACATTGGCCCTGCAGAGACGAAAAGGCATAAATATATTAGTGCAAATTCATTCCTTCTAAAAGAAAAAAATACTGATTACCTTCGTTTTTTGGCAAAAGTCTAGTAGTATTATGACCTTACTTTAACAATGATTTTAAAACTAGGCTAACATTCATTATACTAACTAGTTTTCTATAATCTGCCAAAGTTGAGAACAGTAATCTCTTTGAGGATTCAAGCTTCAATAGGATAGATTCTCATCTTGGCATAATTTAGAATTATGTTTCACTGAACATAAGACATAAAGAGGAAGGAACTTTTTTTTTTTTTTTGCGGTACGTGGGCCTCTCACTGCTGTGGCCTCTCCCGTTGCGGAGCACAGCCTCCAGACACGCAGGATCAGCAGCCATGGCTCACGGGCCCAGCCGCCCAGCGGCATGTGGGATCCTCCCAGACCGGGGCACGAGCCCGTGTCCCCTGCATCGGCAGGCAGACTCCCAACCACTGCGCCACCAGGGAAGCCCCCCTGAAGGAACTTTTTAGAGGCTCTTTTGAGAGTGTTGAATCTTACTCTTATTGTAGTACTCTTTCTTATTCTGTTTGTTGATAATAATATTGTATACTTATGCAGTTAAATAAGTAAACCAATTTTACGTTGAGTTTTAAGAGAATTAAGAGAGAGATTGACAGACTGGAGGGTACCCAGAGTGGAATAACCAAGGTGGTTGAAAAAGCAAGGAGACATGTCATATTCATATTCTGAACACCAGTAAGTTTTAGCACTTGGAATTGCTGTCATGAAGGAGGGAAGCTGTAAGAAATAAGAGGGAGAATAGGGATACCAGCATGATTCTGCCTTTAAGAAGCATGTTATCTTAGAGGAAACAAGATGTACATAAACTGTTATTTCAAATAGGAAGTAAGTGGGAGTGACAAGGAGTACTTGTTTATCTGACTCCTGCAATGTACTAGGCACTCTGTTAGGTCTTTTTCCTGTATCATCCCACTTAGTCCCAGCAATCCTATTAACAACGGTGATAGCTTAATCTTACAGTTGAAGAATCTGAATCTTGAAAAGTTGTTCACAGTAGAGCCTTGAGTCAGAACTAGGATTTGTACCTTGGTTGTTAGTCTTACTTTAAAGCCCAGGCTCATCTCACTGACCACATTGCCTCCCCATGAGTGGCCCAGATAAAGGGCTATGAACCTCAAAAGAGAGGCAGGAGAGATAATTTACTTTCTGCAGTGAAAGAATTTTTGTTAGATGTGGCATTTGAGCAGGGACCTGAAGGAAGGAATAGGATTTGAACAGTAGCAACTGATGGAGAAAGGGTATTTTCCACTTACCCACAACAGGATAAAAACATGTGAAAATCATGCAGAAATTAGAGAGATTCAACTAAAAAGAAGATGTGCATAGAGATAGTGTTTATATTTGAAGAAGGGATAGATTTATTCTGTATTGTTATAAAGCATAGAACCAAGATTAGTAGGTTAGAGCTACAAGGAAGCAGCTATATAGCCCTGTATTTGCTCTCTATGTGGGATTATTTAACTATAGCCCAAATGTAAATAGTGCTTTGCCATTTTTTAAACACTTTCACATTTTCTCATTTGATCCTCACAACCTTGTAAAATGTGTTGGTCTTTAATTGCATTTTACAGGTGAAGAAGCTGGGGCCCAGAGTTCCAAGTCACTTTTAAAAGATTAAAGTGGCAGGCCCAGCACTTTGTAACCACTAGTCTTTCAATGGTGTTATGGATTCACTCATGAAGTTTTTATACTGGTAATTTTAATTCTGGAAGCCCTCTCACTCTGAATGTTGAAAATGGAGTCTTTGCATTCGTAGGAGACTAGAACTACATCAGGACTTTTCAACTTTGGCACTCTTGGCATTTGGAACAGATAGTTCTTTGTGGGAGGCTGTCCTATGCATTAAGTTCCCCTGGCCTCTACTCACTAGATGCCAGTAGCACTTCCCCATCTTGACAACCAAAAATATCTCTAGACTTATAAAATATTCTGAGGCATGGCAAAATTATCCCTACTTGAGAATCAGTGTACTACGTAATATTCCAGGCTAGTAACACAGTTTGCCAGTGAGCTCACTCTGTTTTTTTCAGTGATATTTAAGAATTGAAGAGAATGAGAAAGGTTCCAGAAGAACAAGTCAGACAGCATAGTTCCTGATTTTGAAGTGAAAAGCAAATGATTCTGTAAACTAATGTCTGATGAGAATAGTTTTGATTCTGGTTAATGTTCTAAAATAGATTATTACAGAGATGGATTACGAGCACTTAAGATAAGAAAGCAGTGTTTACTGTAATCTTTCATTGATGGGGTTCCTAAATACAAACAACTGTTTATCAAAGCATATTCTTCCATATTATCTCAGTTACTTTCACTGATAAATAAGGTACTGTACAGGTACAGAAGATAATGTATTTAAATATGTTGAGTTTTTCTTACGGATCAAATGGGAAAAGATATGGTATAGTTAGATATAAAGAAAACTGGTAGAGTATACCTAAAGAATACTGACCCATAGGGCCAGAATCTTCTCAGCTTTGTCCTGTTCAGTATGTTTATTGAACTGGATGAAGATGTAAAATACATGCTAATAAAATTTCTCAATGGCAGAAAGCTAGGAATTCTGTCATAGATCTATGGATAATAGAATTAGAATCCAAAAGAATTTCAAAATACTGAGAAAATGGACTGACTCTCAAAACATAAAATGTAAAAGGAATATACATATGTCCTACCATTGTGTTCAAAAATTCAACTGCATAAATACAGGATGAGAGAGGCACAGCTTTGAAGCAACCATAGGTAACACAGAGAGGGATTATAATCGACCATAAACCCAATATGAGTCAACAGTGTCACTTGAGTAGCAGAAAGACTAATGGGAGTTCATCCTACTAGGTGTCTGCTCTTTTGAGTAAAAATGTTGTATGTGCTTTCCTCACAAGTAAGACTTCCCTGGGTATTTTGCATTTAATTTTAGGTTAAAGTATATTAAATGGAGAGTGTCTAAGATGCTATGGGAAGGAGAAAATGTAGAAAAGTGAGATATCAATCTGAAACCTGAAGAGTTTTCATATGGAAGGATGATTAGATTTGCTCTGCATGATCCTGAGAAGTAACCGGGACCAACATGTGGAAGGTGTAGGGGAGAGAAGTTAGTTTCTCATTAACTGAAATCTAATAGTCAAAAGATGCCCGAAGTTATGCATAGCCTCAGGGGATAGTGCATAGGTTGGTTGACCGGTTAGTGGAAATGTGAAAGTGACATCAGATGAATGCTTAGATAGATTGGTAGTTTTCAAATTTCTTTTTCTATCCACAGAAACTTTTTCAAATAAAGTCTTACACACCCCTGTACACAGACACACACAAAAGTAATGCTGCTCTTGCTGTGGTGAGCACCTACTCTCATTCTCCCCTGAGGGCCTCAACATCTGCCCATGCCACCCAGGATTATCACTATGGATATGCAGAGCATCATAAAAACTACTAGCTAGAGCTTTGAGGTGCCTTTTCAGAGCTGTTTTAGAGTCTCTATACAGTGCTCACTTCGGCAACACACATAATAAAATTGGTATGATACACAGATTAGGATGGCTCTTGTGCAAGGATGACACACAGATTCGTGAAGCATCCCATATTTTTATCATTTTGAAATTTTTATCATTTTGAAAATTGTAAAGCATTATAGAATTTAAAGAACCTTTCAATAAGAAAATAAAAATAATAAAATAAAAATAAAGTCTGTGTACAGAAGTGTGTGTAGTTGTTAAAACTTTACGCTTTAGAGAACTTTGTTTTTCCACCAAAGGTATTTTACTACTTGGAAAAGTTAATGAGCTCCGAGTTATAAAATATGTGAATTTAAGTTTTCTTTTGTTTTAAACAATTATTTGGAAATAATGACAAACTTACAGAAAGCTCTCATGAATAAAAATAGCATATTCATAGGCCTTTTACCCAGATTGACTTGTCGTTAATACTTTGCCCCATTTGCATTAGTGTTTGCTCTCCCATTAGATACACACACACACACACACACACACACACACACACACACACACAGATTTTTTTTCTCCTGAACACTTTGAGAGTAAGTTGCATATTTGTTAAGGATAGTCTGTTAAATAACCAGAGTACAGTTATAGCAATTTCAGTAAATTTAACAGTGCTTAGTCTACCATCCATATTCTACTTCTGTCATTTGACTCAATAAAGTCCTTTATAGCATTGTTTAGAGAACTATTTTTAAGAAACAAAAATTAATATGGAAATATTTATCAAGGCTGAGATTCAAAGTCATTTACATTAAGTGGAAAAAAATCAAAGCATAATTGTATTTTAAAAGAATTCATGAGGGCTTCCCTGGTGGCGCAGTGGTTGAGAGTCCGCCTGCCGATGCAGGGGACACAGGTTCGCACCAGTCTGGGAAGATCCCACATGCCACGGAGCGGCTGGGCCCGTGAGCCATGGCCACTGAGCCTGCGCGTCTGGAGCCTGTGCTCCGCAGCGGGAGAGATCACAACAGTGAGAGGCCCGCGTACCTCAAAAAAATAAAAATTCAAAATGTTTGAGAGAGTAAAAGAAAATTGAGTTTTTGTTTTTAATGTTAATATTGATATGCAGCCATTTGAGGAATATGTTACAGATATTTAAGTGAAAAGAGAAACAGGACTTCAGTTAGATACACCTTTTATGAAAAAATATATTTGGTTGAATTCTACATTTATGAGTAACTTGCTTAGTATAGGGTATATGACAGCTTAATTTGTGCTACACACATTGTCACTGACTTAAAAAAATAACTTTCCCTCTAGTATGTAGTATGCCGTTTCCATTTTTCAAATGTGGATTCCTTTTTTAAGTGTAAGACCAGTATCTTATTATAGAAATTTTTATCCTAGTACAAAGACTGATACCATTGTAGGATATTTTCAACCTACCTTTTATTTCAGAATTTTAATACTAATGGACATGTACACTCATATCCTACTTCTTCCACTTAAATATTAAACATTTAAATTTGCATGTTACTGCAGTCTTCATAAACTTTAGCTAAATATTTCATGCACTGGATGGACATAACATGATGTCCTTAAAAGTTCCCATGATTCAATGTTTTGGTTATTTTCAATTTTTGATATACAAACAATAAAATGAGTTTGCCAAAGTGAATATACTATGTCAGAGGATATTGACAAACCAGTGAAGAAACCATATTTATAAAGCATCTACAAATCAATAAGAGATAGAACCTAATTTAAATTTTAAAAAAACATATGTAGACAAGCATCTTAATTGCATACTTTGCAAAGGGGCATATCCAAATGGTAAATAAGAATATGAGAAGATGCTCAACATCATATTACTCAATAGGAAAATTAAAATTAAAACATAATAGAATATGACTACATACTCACCAGAATTGCAAGTATTTAAAAACCCTAAAAATACCAGGATTTAGTAAGGGTGTAGAGAAACAGGATTTTTCATACATGGCTAGGGGGAATATAAATGGCATACCACTATTTCAGAAAACAATTTGGCATTCTGTACAAAGTTGAACATATAAACATGAACTGTATTCCAGCAATTCTATCTCTACATATGCCCATTAGAATTGTATGCCCATGCATACTAAAAGACATGTTCTACAAGAACTTTTATAGCAACATGATTCATAGTAACCCCTAAACTGAAGACCATCTAAATAAATGTTCCATCATGCAACAGAATATTGTGCTGCAGTGAAAAGGCACCAACTACTGCAACATGCAACAACATGGATGAATGAAGTCCTCTTGTACCTAATTGATAGTTATTTTAACACCTAAGTCTGTGTGTACAAATTTGCACTATTCTGTTAAAATTGCTTCTTTTGGTAAACACATTTCTACCTGTAACAATCAGTAATGCTTTTAAATGTTTTAAAAATAGGATTTACTTAAACCCATTGTTTCAAGAATGAAGAAGGCAATAGATGATGATGTTTTTATTCCTCTATATCCAGAGAGGTAAGAGTTGCTAATTTCTAGATTTTATGAAATAGTTACCCCTGCAATACAGATTCATTTAAGAGTGTAATGTAGAAGAAACTAAATGTATTAAGTGTTTACAAAACACACATACCTATTAAGATGCAAATTGAGATTTCAACAAATATTTTTCAGTCACCTTTTGTATTGCCGTGTATGATGTCTGGCACTTGGACATAGGTTTTAGGGGGTTTTTATGGTTGGGGGTGGTGGTTAATGATATTCCTAAGAACATGACAGTTGGCATGGCAGAGTGCTTAGAACCACAGATTCTGGAGCCCAGATTCACCATTACTAGATATTTGACCTTGGGCCTTTCTGTGCATCAGTGTCCTTGTATATAAAATTGGGCATTAAATTAACGCCTACCTCACAGGACATTGTGAAGATGAATAGAGTGCTCAGAACAATGCCTGACACGGAAAGCCCAGCATAAGGCCTGGAACATCACTGAGGGGCCAGAAACTGCATCTTTGAATTCTGTATTTACCTTTAAATGATCAAACAAGTAGTATTTGATACATATTCTTACATTTGTTAAGAAGGCATCAGTTATAGTAATGGATCATGAACTGAAGCTGTAGAGTACTTAAAGGATGGAAGAGCTGTATGGAAAGAAAAGAAAGGAACTTCTAAGCTTGCTAGTTAATGTGAATCCTGAAGAGACGCCTGCATGTAAAAATTCCCCCCCAGTAAGGTTTGTCATATTTTAGATAAGTAATATAGTCCCATGGTTAAAAAGTATGAATGTATATTTTTAAATTTTGTTTATGTTTAAAATGAAAAGTCTTACTCCCTCCCATTCCTGACCTCCATCCACCCAGTTTTTGCCCTTCCTTCTCTGTACACATACATGCATGCAAGAATGCTCAATGTTGGTAATTTTTTTTACCTTTTCAGAATTTCTTTACGCAATTAGAATTAAATACTTACAGAATTTTAATACTTATAATGCAATTAGAATTAATCTTATTTTCCTCTCCTTTTTTATATATTTACTTATAAAGTAAGTATATTGTAGTCATAACCATTGTTTTGTACCTTACTTTTTTGACTTAGTACATCTTTGAGATCTTTTTATGTCATCACATAAGTTGTTTCCTCAGTCTTTTTTAAGCTGTACAATATGCCATTATATAGATGTACTGTAATTGATGAGCATGTAAGCAGTAAACCATTACTAACAATGTTGGGAATAATTTTATGGACATTTTATTCAGTACATGTGGAAATGTATCTACAGAAGGCATTCTCAGACATGGATTTATTGAGTCAAAGTGTGCATGCATTTGTAATTTTAGTAGATATCCCCAGAGCACCTCCTTTTATATTCTGTTAAGGCTTAGTTTGGTTGATTTTAAAAAAACAAAACCATTCAGGTTTTTAAACTCTGTTTCTGAAAGATGAACAGTCATTTGCATTTTCTTCTTTCTCTTTCTTTTGCTTCAAATTAGTGCTGTAGAAAACAGAATGTCACCACATTCAAAGTTCCAAGAAAGACAGTTCTGGTCAGGTCTAAAGGTAAGCAGAAAACGGCAGAAATAAAAATAATTGTTTTCATTTTTTAAAAAGTTTACTATAGAGTGAAGATCAGCAAAATTCTGTAAAGGACCAGACAGTAAATATTTCAGGCTTTGTAGGTCATATGGTCTCTGTTGAACTGTTCAGCTCCTCCACTGTAGTACAAACAGTCAGACAATATGTAAACAAATGAGCGCATGTCTTTGGTTCAGTAAACTTTACTATCATTTAAAATTATAAAAAACATTCTTGGGACTTCCCTGGCAGTCCAGTGGTTAAGACTCCATGCTCCCAATGCAGGGGCCTGGGTTTGATCCCTGGTCAGGGAACTAGATCTCCCATGCCGCAGCTAAGAGTCCACATACCACAACTAAAAGAGCCCACGTGCCACAGTCCCGCATGCTGCAATGAAGATCCCTCATGCCGCAACTAAGACCTGACGCAGCCAAATAAATAAATATTTTAATACATAAATAATAAATAAACATTCTTAGTTCAGCAACTCTACAAAAACAGGCAGTAAGCTGTATTTAACTCATAAGCCATAGTTGTCTCACCCCTGGTCTAAATGAAACAGGATGAAGTCGGTGCTAAGTCAGTGGCAAAGGAAGGTAAGGAAAAGATGGATTCAAAAGATATTAATTACGTATGAAGAATGTAGGGTGTTAGTCAAGTTTTTGACTTTGGCAACCTGGTAACTTATGATGACATTCTTTGAGGGCACTGGAGGGGTTACAGGAAGAAGCAAAGGTTTGGGAGGAGAGATAAGATCTGTTTTGGACATAGTGAATTTAATATCTATGGGACAAATGGAGGCAATTGGATATATGATTCTGAATTGCAGGGGACAGATCTGAGCTGGAGATTTGGGAGTCAACCACATATAGGCAGTATTTGGAGGCATGGTCATGAATGACAACCTCTGAGGAGATTGCATGAAGCATGAGAAGAAGGCTAAGGATAGACCCTTAGGAGATACTGAGATAAGAGGTGGACAGAGAAAGTGGAATCTTCAGAGAGGCCTTAAGAATGAGTCGTGAAACTAAGAATGGTCATAAGAGGGTGGCATCAGGGAAACTAAGTGAAGGGCTTTCAAGAACGAAAACAGTGTTAATGCCACTGAAGAGAATTAGAAAGAAGACTGAAATTTTTTTACTGGATTTGATGATGATAAGGTAATGGGTGACCTCAGCAAGAACAATTTTGATAGGGTGAATCAATACTTGTCATGTGGTTGAGTCAGGGAAAAGGCTTTTCAAGAAGAGGGAGCAACATCAAAAATGACATTGTGAAAAGGCATTGCATATTAGTACAATTGGATGTAGTTTAGCACCTAGCGTGATACATATGTTACTGGAAAGAAAGTGGAAGATACCATAAAATTCACAGAAAGATCTGCATTTAGAGGAGGGAAATGCAACCCATGTTACTTTTATTAGATTTTCTTAAAAGTATTTTAAATTAAAGCAATTATAAAGCAATTATACCCCAATAAAGATGTTAAAAAAAAAAAAAAAAAAAAAAAGTATTTTACCCAAGGTATCTCCAAAGTCACAGGTTATTATTAATCTTATTTTCTATATTAGAGCAGTGCGGTTCTCAGGTTTGATTGATTTCTCAAGGTCACACGTTGGTAACAGTAGCACTGGCTTTAACAGCAGTGCTTTTATGAATCCTGAGGTCCTGTGGTCTTGTATCTGATGGCCCGAGCCTCCAGGAGAGTATGGATTGAGAGGGAAGATTATTGATCAGGAAAGGCTCCAGCAAGGTAATTTGAAATAGATTTTGAGCAGTTGTCCTAAAAAAATGAAAATAGGATGAACAAATATATGGAGGTTGGAAAGAATCAAGTGTTTATTTAGAAATGTTTTCTGTTGATTCTAAAATTTACGGTTCCAAAAGTGCCAATTGTAGTGAGAGTTTAAAAGAGTTTGACCAACTTTTTATGTTTGTTGGATACTACTACGGTTTTCCTTTGGAGAAAAGGTACATAGTCACTTGACACTTTATTGTGTTTTAGCTCTTCCGCAATATTTTTCTTTGGAATGAACTCCTCCCAGAAGACACCTTGCAAGAGCTAGGTCTAGGGAAGCTGCTGAATCGTTATCTTATTATAGCTCTTCTCAATGCCATACCTGGGCCAGATGTTGTTAAAAAGTGCAACCAGGTAAGTTGTGTAGAAACTGATTCTAATTTTATCATTTTTAAAATTTAGTTATTAAAATCAATTTTGTAGCAAAATAATTAAAATTATGGTACTCACATTAACAACAAATTAATTTAGCAGACTAGAAACCCAGAATAACCCAGTATTTTAAAAAAGTATACTGGTTAGCTGTTTACAAAATGAATGTTAGATCCTCACCTCTCACTACATACCAATGTAAATTACAGGTGAAGTAAAGAATTAAGTGTGAAAAAATGAAACTATAAAATATTGTACTAAGAAGATAAATGACTATACCTGATGTTAAGGGAGTCCTTTCTGAACTTAAAAGCAAAAATGGTGAGAAAAAATAATAGATTTGACAAAAATATAAAACTTCAGTAAACCAAAAATGTATCAGGATTATTTGATTATTGTTAAAACTGGAAGATGGGTTCATTGGGCTCACTATACTTATTCTTTCTCCTGTTGTTTATTTTTGAAATTTTCTATAACGAAAAGTTAAAAAGATAGTTGAAAAACAGAAAAATAAGTTACAGTGCATAACGAGGATAAATACCCACATTTTTAAAAAGCAGTAAACAATTCAAATATTCTTATTGAAAATGACCAAAAGACATGCAACATGGTGAATTGCCTAATTCACCAAAAAAAGAATATGCAAAGATAACTTCTAAACATGTGGAAAATATTAACAGTACTAATAATCAGAGAATTGCAAATAATACAGTAAGGATATTGTTTTTACCTGTTATGCTGGCAAATTTTTTGCTGTTATTTCCATTATAATTTCCAGTATTGTCATAAGCACAGGGAAACAACAGCCCCACATCATTCCAGGGATACCATTCATCTAAAACGTATGGAGTGGCAATTCTGGGAAATAGTTTCTGCACTGTGGAAAGAGGAATACAATTCTGGAGACTATTTTGGCATGATTGATATAAAACCTTTAAAGTTTATACCCTTTTACTTAGCAGTTTTACTTCTAGGAAATTATCCTATGTTAAAAAATCAGATGTGCATAAAGGTTTCTACGTACAAAGAATATTATTGTAGCATTATTTATAATAGATGACAGTTGGAAAGAACCTAAATGTCTAAAAACATTAGTTTCTATCCATAAGATAAAAGTCATGAGGAAAACTTTTTAAGAATGTGGGAAAATATTTACATTCTTAAATAAAATTTTTAAAAATATAAATATATATGTAATATTAGATAGCAGTTCCTAGACAACCTCCATTTTTCTAGCTGTGGTTTTTATTTCATGTAGTTTTAAACTACATTATCTACCAGAAATTTCAGTCATCATCCATCCTGTGTGTGTTTCAGGTTTCAGTTTAGTTCTCTTTGACCATAGGCTCTACTATGCAAAAGTAAGGAAGAGGATATATGACATTCTCTCCACAGCTTGTGGCCAGAAAACCAGGCCAAGACAATGTGTTTATAAGTCCCAGGATCATTTATGGAAAAGCTAGATAGTTCCTTCAGAATTTTATTGAGACTTGTGGTACAAAACAAGGGGAAAGCAAGGGCAAATGACATTAAATTCCAAGCCAGTAAGGGCTGGTTTTTAAACTTTAAAAAGATACAGTTTGCATGATAAGACTTATAGGACTTTCTGCCTTAGGCAATCAGTGTGTCTGTATTTTTTCTGGATAACTGAAAAAGGTGATTAAAAAATAGGATAAATCATTTTCCTCAACTGTGTTTTCAGTGTTGACCAGTCAGATTTATTTTAGAAAGAGTGCATTCCAGAACTTTCATTTAACATATTTTATAATATATATATGGTGCAACTTTCTACTTTCTAGAAGTACGTACTGATGTTGATCTTACCAACTATAGCAAAACCAAGAATTTCTTTAAATAGTATGATCTCAGATTTTTCCTTGCTCCCATTCTCTCTCCTTTTTTAAAAAAATTCTTCCTTCTGCTATGAGGACGTTTTTCTTTTCTATTTTGTTAACATTTTTCCTTTTTTCCAAAACTTTTCCCCAAATCATGTATTACCTTTAACATGATGATGATAAGTGTTGTTTGGGGTTATTTTCCCCCAAAAAGAAAAAAAATGAATGCACATACATTGACTCTTTATGCTTCCATGGACATTTAAAGCAATGTATTAAATTACAAGAAAATCGAAACCATAATTAATTTTTTTCACTCAGTGTATCTTAGAATGACCTTGATTTATTTCTTCATGTAGATTATACACAAACTCACCCAATTTCTTACTGTGAAATCATATTAAATGTACCTATTTTGGGCTTCCCTGGTGGCGCAGTGGTTGAGAGTCCGCCTGCTGATGCAGAGGACACGGGTTTGTGCCCCGGTCCGGGAAGATCCCATATGCTGCGGAGCGGCTGGGCCTGTGAGCCATGGCCGCTGAGCCTAAGCATCTGGAGCCTGTGCTCCGCAATGGGAGAGGCCACAGAAGTGAGAGGCCTGCGTACCGCAGGAAAAAAAAATATATATATATATATATATATATATATATATATAAATTGTAAATGAGATATGAAATAGATGCTAAACATAGTGTCCTTAACAAACCCTGACTCATCCCTTTACCAGAGGAAATGTCTCATTGCTTGAACACATTTCTTCCTTTCACTGTTCCCTTCTAATGGCACTTCTCATTTTCTATTATCCATTACTGTTATTTTTGTATTTTCACATGCTTCCTATCAAGACTAGAGTAGTTTCAAGAGAAAAAAACATAATTCACTCAATTATTATTTGTTGATTAAATAAGCACACAGCTAGGGCCCAAGAAAGAAGTATGGGTATAAAGAAATTACTCATTATGTTATGAATGGAAATTTTCCATATGTCAGGTGACAAGAGGATAGACTTTTTGGTCAATTTAATATCCTTTATATTGCATAATTTTATGCCAAAGTAGGAGAATAATTGAACTGCCTTGATAATTCTAAACATTTTTATTAGAAAACTCAACAGTGCATTTAATACCTTACAATAAGATTCAGAGATTTACAGCATAATAAGAAATTAATTAATGAGTCACTAATATCAAAAACACCTTGGAGCTTCTTCTTATCAATTTTCCTTAATCTAAGTGTGAACAGTTTTAAAAAGTTACTTGTGTTCCAAATCTTTTCTGCCATGTTTTCCACACTTTCTCCACTTTTTATATATATATATATATATATATATATATATATACCTATTTTATACAGTTGACCCTTGAACAACACAGGTTTGAACTGCATGGGTCCACTTCTACATGGATTGTTTCAGTAAATACATACTAGAGTACTACACAATCCACAGTTGGTTGAATCCTTGGATGCAGAACCAGAGATATGGAGGGCCGACTGTAAAGTTAATACACTGATTTTCGACTGCAAATGGGTCACTGCCCGTAACCCCTGCATTGTTTAAGGGTCAAATGTAGGTATGTTAACTAAAAGTGTTTTGCGTCTACACATTTCTGGTGTTTAGTTATAAATGTTTTGTACAATTTAATCGCTCAGGAATACAGAGTATTGAAAGTATTACAAGTACTAGGAAGTATTTATAAAGAGTAGTCTAGGGCTTCCCTGGTGGCACAGTGGTTGAGAGTCCGCCTGCCGATGCAGGGGACACGGGTTCGTGCCCCAGTCTGGGAAGATCCCACATGCCGCGGAGCGGCTGGGCCCGTGAGCCATGGCCGCTGAGCCTGCGTGTCCAGAGACTGTGTGGGAGAGGCCGCAACAGTGAGAGGCCCGCGTACTGCAAAAAAAAAAAAAAAAAAAAAAAAGAGTAGTCTATTTTAAGCTCTCGGTATCAAAATATGATTTTTTTTAAAGTATAAAACCTTGACAGAAAAAGGGGAAATTCTCAAAAGTTATTTAACCATGAACTGTAAAATGGAAGAATACTACTCAACCAACATGAGTACTATGAGGATTAAATGAAATTATGTTAGCTAAAGTCCTTAGATAATAACTGTCATTAAAAATATGTATTTTGATTATCAGATAGCAGCATGTTTACCAGAAAAATGGTTCCAAAATTCTGCCATGAGAACATCTATTCCCCAGCTAGAAAACTTCATCCAGTTTTTACTGCAGTCTGCACGTAAATTATCTACAGATGAAATCAGGTAATGCATATTTTATTTGTACCTCCATAAGCATAGTTTAGGGTTCCATTCTCAGCAATTTTTAGAAAGATTTGTACTTTACTTTTAAAAATCTAAGACTGTCACTGAAGAGTTAGGAGGTATTTTCATGTATGATCTTTAGAATCACTCAGTATTTTATATTCACACCTCATGCATATTAGTTCATATTTTTAAATGTAAATCTCTTCCAAAATAAGCACTTCCAGAAAACTGTATCACAGGGGAATTTAAAATTAAAACTATAAATCAAAAGCCTCTTATCAAGCATGTTTTTAATGTCTTCTTAATTTTCCTAGCCATTTCAAAATCTCAACATTTGTTATGTACAGGTCTGCAACCTGGCATTTACCCAGCAGTAGCTAGATCTCCGTTTTGGATATCTCATTCACAGCACTAGATGTTTAAGGACTTAAATACAGTGGTATTCTGGTAAACCACCTCTCCAAAAAGAAAAAAGTTAAAACCTCAAATTGTAGCATTTGATGATATCTGTGGATAAATACTGCTGCAAGTATAGCCCATATAAGCTGCTGGTAGCAGCAAACCACAAGTCAGATTTCTGATAGATTTGATCTATGCTTTTCTCCTTTTTTATAGTCATTCACATTAAAATTTGCCAGAATACATCCATTAATAGTCTGTATTGGAACTTCATGATTATGTGGAGAAGGTAGCATCTAAATATTTTATGCTATCTTAGATATTGGCATAAGGTAAAGTTTTTGTTTCAGATTAACTACTTATGATTCACTGTGCCCTTACACATTGCATTTCTAAAAGGGAAAATGCTTTTTTGTTTTTTTTTCAGGGATGAAGTCAAAGAAATAATTCTTATTCTGGTGAAAATAAAAGCTTTGAATCAAGCAGAATCCTTCATAGAAGAATATCACCTAGACCATCTTAAATCACTAATTAAAGAAGTTTGAGTGAACTTTATAGGAAAGTACTAAAATGAGGTTTTAATATAGTCACACTTGGCTCTTTTGCTTGGAGAAAGAAGGAAAAAAAAAAAAATGTTGCCACTTCTTTATTCCCAGTAATGGAGGGGAGGATTTGCAACACCAAAACAGCAGGACTCTGTCTTTCCATTCCTTCCACCTTCTACATTCTGGTATCATGAAAGCTGCCCCTTTTTTTGCAGTGTTTGCAGGAATTAGACACACAGGAACTGTAAGAGTTTAACATATTTCCATTTCCATTTGATTTTTCCATCGACTTTTCCAGCTTAAGAAAGGAGTTGAAGGAAGCTTGTTATAGCTCTTTTGGCTTTGGTTGGTCTTCTGTCCTGAACCATAAAAACCTCTTTTAGTTCTCTTCATTTTAACTATCTCTGTTTACAGATGAGTTTAAATGAGAATCTTAATCGGGATGAATTACTTGTTAAGTATTCTGATTAAGGCATTTTAGGGCTTTTGATAGCTTGTCAAATTGTTCTTCAGAAATGTGTACCAATGTATTGTACCAACAGAAGTCTAAGAAAGGTCAGTGAATCTCTACCAGCAATAGGTATTATCATTTTTTTTAACTCATTTGCACTTAATAGGTGAAAAAAATCTTATTTTAATGATTTGTTTTGTCTATTAGAGAGTGACTGCTTGTTTTTTGGCCATTTATAATTCTTTTTGAAATATCTATTCATCTTTTTCTTACGGATTTGTAAGAGCTTTATATATTAAAGATACTGATGTTCTGGGAATTCCCTGGCATCCAGTGGTTAGGACTGCACTTTCACTGCCGAGGTCACAGGTTCGATCCCTGGTCAGGGAACTAAGATCCCTCAAGCCACACAGAACGGCCAAAAATAAAAACAAAAACAAAACAAAGATACCCATGTTTTGGCTGTGCTATGTTATAGTTTCCCTCATTTGCCATTTTCTTTAAATTTGTGTATGTTTTTGGTGTACTAAGTTATCGCTTGTTAGGTAGTTACTATTTTTTGTTGTGGTTTTTTTGTCATTGGTGGTAGGCCTAGACAGGAAACAAAATTTTTTTTTTGACATCTTTATTGGGGTATAATTGCTTTACAATGGTGTGTTAGTTTCTGCTTTATAACAAAGTGAATCAGTTATACATATACATATGTTCCCATATCTCTTCCCTCTTGCGTCTCCCTCCCTCCCACCCTCCCTATCCCACCCCTCTAGGTGGTCACAAAGCACCGAGCTGATCTCCCTGTGCTATGCGGCTGCTTCCCACTAGCTATCTACCTTACGTTTGGTAGTGTATATATGTCCATGCCTCTCTCTCGCTTTAGGAAACAAATATTTTAAATATTCAGCACAGGGACTTCCCTGGTGGCGCAGTGGTTAAGAATCCACCTGCCAGTGCAGGGGACACGGGTTCAATCCCTGGTCTGGGAAGATCCCACATGCCACAGAGCAACTAAGCCTGTGTGCCACAACTACTTAAGCCTACACACCTAGAGCCTGTGCTCCGCAACAAGAGAAGCCACCGCAATGAGAAGCCCCCATGCACCACAATGAAGAGTAGTAGTTCCTGCTCACCGCAACTAGAGAAAGCCTGCGTGCATCAACGAAGACCCAATGCAGCCAAAAATAAAAATAAATAAAATTAATTTATTATAAATAAATATTCAGCACATGTGATTCATTTTCTAATAAAAAACTTGTGTGATTAAGAAAGTGAGGCAAGGTCATTGAATCAAAAAGAAATTGAGGGACTTCCCTGGTGGTCCAGTGGTTAAGAATCCACCTTCCAATGCGGGGGACTCGGGTCCGATCCTGGCTGGGGAACTAAGATCCCACATGCTGTGGGGCAACTAGGCCTGCATGTGGCAACTAGTGAGAGCCCCTAAACAAAGAGCCCCGCACACTGCAATGAAGACCCAGCGTGGCCAAAAAAAAAAAAATTCTTTGTGGCACTTTCAATAACTATAAAATAAAAACTTTGAAACATGCTATGTGTATGAGAATTAATTTAAATAAAAACATTTTTCAAAGAGTTTACTAAAATAATTTTTGTTAAATCTATTTGTTTAAATAACTTGAGGGCCATCCTAAATGTATGCAAATTGTTGCCCAAAAGACAATCAGGAAAAAATTGATTATGTGTAGGATTTGAGCATGTGGCCTCTGACATTATCACCCCTAGTTTTGAAGCTGCATGTAATTTATTTTAGCAGATTGGTGTGTGATTTCTACTACAGTGAAGACTCATGATTCATTGGTATGAACAGTTTTTTAAAGTTTATTTTGGTTACACAAATTATGAAGAGTAGAATCTTATCTAGAAAATTCAAGCCATTGCTAAAAAGGATTTAGCATTCTTACACAATTATGTTCCCAGAGGTAACTGCTGTTTTCATTTTATCCTTTCAGACCTTTTCTCTACTTAAAAAGTATGTATGTGTGTATACACACACAAAGACCTTTGTTTTTTATATAAATGGCAGATACTTTATTGTATATGAAATTTGTAACTTTTTAATTGTTAAAGTGTACATTTGAAATTTCCCTATAATTTTTGCATTTGTAATTAAAGGTGTGTTAGATGATCCCTTACATTTTTAACTTGGGCAGAGAGATTTCTCTTGCTTTTTGTAGAGTGGAAAATATTAGAACTGCTTTTAAAACTAAATTGATTTAAATTCCCAGTAGTTTTCAACTAAATTTCATTATGCTTGGAGTTTGAATCTCAGTATTTTTATCCATCATATACTATATCTGAAGAAATTCAAAAACATTTGTGAAGCTTGCCTAATCCTCAGTGCAGAGTTCCCTTTTCCAACACCCCCCCGCCCCACTTTTTTCCTGTTACTGTGAAATGGATGGAATGAAGGAAAGAAAACTAGCAAAAACTTTGGGTTAGCAGTTTATCTCACATCTCAATTCTCTCCCTGGATTTTTTTCAGCTTTTCACTTAAAGAATGTAAAATTTTTACAGAATCAGACAGATGACCTTTTTGTTTTTACTTCTTTCATATGGCTTTTAGGAACCTTTCAATGGCCATGAAAACATACCTCAAAACAATTGAGTTTTTCATTTGTTAGGCTTGTGACGAAATGATATTTATATAGATGACTCCTAAGAAATACCGTATGTGGTACAAAACCTGAAAAAGGTATTACAAGAAAAGAAAATAGACCAATATTCCTCATGAATATAGAAATAAAAATCCTTAAAATATTAGCAAATTGAACCCGGCAATGTATAAAAAGGAAAATACTAATACATCATGACCAAATAGGATTTATTCCAGGAAGGCAAGTTTGGGTCAACATTAAAAATTTAATCAGTATAATTCACCTATGAATAGAATAAAAGAGGACAACCATACAATCATCTTAATGATTACAGAAAAGGCACTGGACAAAATTCAACACCCTCCCACAGTACAAAAACAGGAATATAAATTCTTTAATAAAGAGCATCTGCAAAAGAACATCCACACTTAACATCATACTTAATGGTAAAATATTAAAGCAAGGATGTCTGCTCTCACCATTACTGTTCATCCTTGTTCTGTAGGTCCTAACCATGCAGTCAGTCAAGAAAAAGGCATAAAGATTAAAACAAAAGAGTCGACATTCACAAATGACAAGATTGTTTACGTAGAAAGCCTTATGCACTCTACAAAAAAAAAAAAAAAAAAAAAAAAAAAATAAAAAAAAAAAAAAAAAAAAATTCAATCAGAACAAATAAGTGAATTTACCAAGATCTTACAAATATCAAAGTCCAGGGGCATGCTAGTGATTTAACTGGAAACAAATTTTTAAAACAATAACACTTCAGTAGCGGTGAAAAACATCAAATTCTAGGAACAAATCTATAGAAAGACTTGGCACTGCGGAGTACGAAAATTGCTGAGGATAAAAAAAGTGTTTAACCTAAATGCTTTCCTGGTGGCACAGTGGTTAAGAATCCACCTGCCAATGCAGGGGACACGGATTCAAACCCTGGTCTGGGAAGATCCCACATGCCGTGGAACAATTAAGCCCGTGCACCACAGTTACTAAGCCTGAGCTCTAGAGCCCGCAAGCCATGACTACTGAGCCCATGTGCCACAACTACTGAAGCCCGCACACCTAGATCCCGTGCTCTGCAGCAAGAAGCCACCGCAGTGAGAAGCCTGCACATTGCAATGAAGAGTAGCCCCCACTCACCACAACTATAGAAAGCCCACGCACAGCAATGAAGACCCAATGCAGCCAAAAATAATTAAACCTAAATAAAAAGAGGTATATTCATGAATTGGAAAACTCAGTTATTGTTTAAGGTATCTTCTCCCCATATTGATTAATAGTTATGCAGTCCCTGCCAAAATTCTATCAGGCTTTAAAAAAAAAAAAAAAAACAAAGACTGGTTGATTAAAATATATTAAAGTTTATGGGACTTGCCTCGTGGCTCAGTGGTTAAGAATCTGCCTGCCAATGCAGGGGACATGGGATCGATCCCTGGTCCGGGAAGATCCCACATGTCACAGAGCAACTAAGCCCATGCACCACAACTACTGAGCCTACCCTCTAGAGCTGGCGAGCCGCAACTACTGAAGCCCACGCACTCTAGGGCCTGCATGCTGCAACTACTGAGCCAACATGCTGGGACTTCCCTGGTAGCACAGTGGTTAAGAATCCGCCTGACAATGTAGGGGACACAGGTTCGAGCCCTGGTCCAGGAAGATCCCACATGCCACGGAGCAACTAAGCCCATGCACCACAACTATTGAGCCTACCCTCTAGAGCCAGCGAGCCGCAACTACTGAAGCCCACGCGCTTTAGGGCCTGCATGCTGCAAATACTGAGCCCACATGCTGGGACTTCCCTGGTAGCACAGTGGTTAAGAATCCGCCTGACAATGCAGGGGACACGGGTTCAAGCCCTGGTCCAGGAAGATCCCACATGCCACGGAGCAACTAAGCCCATGCACAACTACTGAGCCTTCACTCTAGAGCCTGCGAGCCACAAC